ATTGCTGCTCGATTACCATCATTATTCGTATTGATTCGTCTATAATGTTGCTAATTATACTGAATTCCATCAAACCTGAAGCGATTTTTTCGATGAGACTGAAGATAATCGCGAACACGTCTACCTCTTGATATGGTTTGCGCCATGGTTCACTATATATGGAATTTTTTTCATATATAAGATGGTGTGAACTGTACTCCGCATTAAAATACATTTTCTATATTTTTTCGCAATTAGTTCTTCTTCACTCTGCTAGGTTGCAACCTAGTAATTCATCAGTAATGCACCTTAGGATATCTCCCATAGATGCACTAGATTGTTCAGATTCAACTCATACACTACGATCATTGATGTTTCATGATTTTTCAATTTGCCTCGCATATGTGGCGTTTGCATCCTGATATGGTTTTTTGTTACAAATAAAACAACCTATAGGTGATATAATCGATACTATATGGCAGTTGGATCACTTCGAACATCAATTTTCGTAAAATTCAAGCAGAGACCTTCCATTTGATATACAACAACCTATAGTTGGCATAATATTCACTATATGGCCCTTGAAGACCTTCAAAAATTGATTTCCGTAAAATTCAAGCAGATACCTTTCATTTGATAGGTAATAAGCTATAGTTGATAAAATATCCACTACATGGCCCTTGAGGCCCTTCAAAAATTGTTTTTAGTAAATTTCAAGCAGAGACCTTTCATTTGATATACAACAACCTATAGTTGGCATAATATTCACTATATGGCCCTTGAGACCCTTCAAAAGTTGATTTTCGTAAATTTCAAGCAGAGACCTTTCATTTGATATACAACAACCTATAGTTGGCATAATATTCACTACATGGCCCTTGAGACCCTTCAAAAGTTGATTTTCGTAAATTTCAAGCAGAGACCTTTCATTTGATATACAACAACCTATAGTTGGCATAATATTCACTATATGGCCCTTGGTGACCCTTCAAAAATTAATTTTCGTAAAATTTAAGCAGAGACCTTTCATTTGATATACAACAACCTATAGTTGGCATAATATTCACTATATGGCCCTTGAGGCCCTTCAAAAATTAATTTTCGTAAATTTCAAGCAGAGACCTTTCATTTGATATACAACAACCTATAGTTGGCATAATATTCACTATATGGCCCTTGATGACCTTCAAAAGTTGATTTTCGTAAATTTCAAGCAGAGACCTTTCATTTGATATACAACAACCTATAGTTGGCATAATATTCACTATATGGCCCTTGATGACCTTCAAAAATTAATTTTCGTAAATTTCAAGCAGAGACCTTTCATTTGATATACAACAACCTATAGTTGGCATAATATTCACTATATGGCCCTTGATGACCTTCAAAAATTAATTTTCGTAAATTTCAAGCAGAGACCTTTTATTTGATATACAACAACCTATAGTTGGCATAATATTCACTATATGGCCCTTGAGACCCTTCAAAAGTTGATTTTCGTAAATTTCAAGCAGAGACCTTTCATTTGATATACAACAACCTATAGTTGGCATAATATTCACTATATGGCCCTTGAGGCCCTTCAAAAGTTGATTTTCGTACATAATATTCACTATCTGGCCCTAGTTGAGGTTAGGGCCCATCGAACAATCCTATTTGAGAGCGTTCAGAGGTCTGCAGCACCAGAATCGCCGTTCCCACTCGTCGGAGACGGATGACCTTGAAAGCGTAAAAAATGACCAGAATGGACCTTAACTTTTCTTATGGCGATTAACATGGGAAAAGTGGTCGAAATGCGGCCGTTCTCTCCTAGCTCCTTTCGCAATTAGTTCTTCTTCACTCTGCTAGGTTGCAACCTAGTAATTCATCAGTAATGCACCTTAGGATATCTCCCATAGATGCACTAGATTGTTCAGATTCAACTCATACACTACGATCATTGATGTTTCATGATTTTTCAATTTGCCTCGCATATGTGGCGTTTGCATCCTGATATGGTTTTTTGTTACAAATAAAACAACCTATAGGTGATATAATCGATACTATATGGCAGTTGGATCACTTCGAACATCAATTTTCGTAAAATTCAAGCAGAGACCTTCCATTTGATATACAACAACCTATAGTTGGCATAATATTCACTATATGGCCCTTGAAGACCTTCAAAAATTGATTTCCGTAAAATTCAAGCAGATACCTTTCATTTGATAGGTAATAAGCTATAGTTGATAAAATATCCACTACATGGCCCTTGAGGCCCTTCAAAAATTGTTTTTAGTAAATTTCAAGCAGAGACCTTTCATTTGATATACAACAACCTATAGTTGGCATAATATTCACTATATGGCCCTTGAGACCCTTCAAAAGTTGATTTTCGTAAATTTCAAGCAGAGACCTTTCATTTGATATACAACAACCTATAGTTGGCATAATATTCACTACATGGCCCTTGAGACCCTTCAAAAGTTGATTTTCGTAAATTTCAAGCAGAGACCTTTCATTTGATATACAACAACCTATAGTTGGCATAATATTCACTATATGGCCCTTGGTGACCCTTCAAAAATTAATTTTCGTAAAATTTAAGCAGAGACCTTTCATTTGATATACAACAACCTATAGTTGGCATAATATTCACTATATGGCCCTTGAGGCCCTTCAAAAATTAATTTTCGTAAATTTCAAGCAGAGACCTTTCATTTGATATACAACAACCTATAGTTGGCATAATATTCACTATATGGCCCTTGATGACCTTCAAAAGTTGATTTTCGTAAATTTCAAGCAGAGACCTTTCATTTGATATACAACAACCTATAGTTGGCATAATATTCACTATATGGCCCTTGATGACCTTCAAAAATTAATTTTCGTAAATTTCAAGCAGAGACCTTTCATTTGATATACAACAACCTATAGTTGGCATAATATTCACTATATGGCCCTTGATGACCTTCAAAAATTAATTTTCGTAAATTTCAAGCAGAGACCTTTTATTTGATATACAACAACCTATAGTTGGCATAATATTCACTATATGGCCCTTGAGACCCTTCAAAAGTTGATTTTCGTAAATTTCAAGCAGAGACCTTTCATTTGATATACAACAACCTATAGTTGGCATAATATTCACTATATGGCCCTTGAGGCCCTTCAAAAGTTGATTTTCGTACATAATATTCACTATCTGGCCCTAGTTGAGGTTAGGGCCCATCGAACAATCCTATTTGAGAGCGTTCAGAGGTCTGCAGCACCAGAATCGCCGTTCCCACTCGTCGGAGACGGATGACCTTGAAAGCGTAAAAAATGACCAGAATGGACCTTAACTTTTCTTATGGCGATTAACATGGGAAAAGTGGTCGAAATGCGGCCGTTCTCTCCTAGCTCCTTTACTTAAACAGATTTATAAACAGGACTAAACTACAGAAACCTGAATAAATACAACTTTGTTAGGATTTGAGTATGATTATTATCATTCTTTGGTGTTTAAAAATGAGAGGCATTATGCATTTACGATATCTCTATGCGAAAAATGGTCATTTCTTAAGAACTCCTGAGACTATATTCTTCGTTTTCATTACAATTATTTACCGGAAGAAAAACGTGAATGGATATCAGATACCGGGCGGGATGTCCACTGGACAACCACTGCGGGACATCCCCTGGATGCTCCAATTATGTCCTTGTACCGCGAGACAAAAAACGGACCTACCTAGGACATGCCTGTGTTGTTAGGGTAGATTATATGGACAAGTTAAGCAATTCATTGCCATCCTTGAAAATATACTGTCTCTCTTTAAGTACTGGTACAATACTGTGTATGTATATCGTCATATGGTTACAGGAAGGTTCTGAGTGGAATCAGTTTTTTGTAAAAACTTAGGAGGAGGGGGGGGGCGATGACGCTCATGTGGTGAATAAAGAAATCACACGTTCATTTGTTTGTTAGCAATATCAATAATCATTCTTATAACAATAATAGTCCCAATTGTAGTCCATTTGTATAGCAAAATTCATTTTTATGTACGTATGGCAATATGGTCTTCAAAAAAGTCGTCACTCACGTATAGTTTTCATTTGAAAATGTTGTCATTTTTTTCTCTTCAGAATGCCTTCTGCCTCTTCTGTAATCAAAAAAAGCTAAAAGAGGGAAAATGTAACACACACGACCATATATCGTCAGCATTCCAGACCAGTATTCCACCCTTTTATAATAATAATAATATTCATTTCATTCTTTGTTATAAACATTACATTGCATCTCATATAAATATAAATATATTTATTAAGGTTTATAATGTAATAACATGAATAATCAGACAGATTCATATCTGGTATGAGATTATTCATGCGTTATTAAATCTGAGTTATTGAAAAAAATAACAGATACAAAAATGATAATAATAATAATAAATCTCATAAAAAGTACATCATGACACGATGAAATAAATTAGTGAATGAGGAATCATTCACTCAGGTTTGATTTTCTCTTTGCAAGAGGATATGTTTTTTGACTTTTATTTCGAATTGGGTGATGTTTGTGCACCTTCTGATATCATCAGGTAATTTATTGAATTTTGAGATAGCCCCGTTGTTAAACTTTTCTTGGCCAAGTGTATATAGAATTAGCAGAGCATCAAGATGAAACATGTCATCTTGTCATCTATATAGTCTAGTATGATGTTCATGGATTTGGGAATTCCTTACCAATATGAAGTTAGATTCGAGGTGTTGGTTGATAATTTTGAGAGTATTGATCAGATAGTGCTCTTCCAAAGAAAATGTATCTGATCTGATGGTGTGTCATATGGAAGACAATACACAATACAGTACTTTTGACTGCACGAATCCAAATCTTCTTGCCTTATTTTAGAAACTTCACAAGTCTTTCAGAAGAAATCCTAAAGAGAAATCAGATGACAAAATTAGTATATCCATTTGTATAGCAAAAGTCATTTTTATGTACGTATAACAAAATGGCCTTCAGAAAAATTGATGATCCATTTTCTTTTTTTTTTCAGTTGTGATTCTATACGTCAACTGCTACAGTGTCAATCTAGCTACGAGTGTACAGAATGTATTTACAGCAGCAAAACTTGTGGCAGTTCTCATTGTGGTGCTCGGCGGTGCTTATAAGATGTTTGAAGGTATGTAGTAAGCAAAATTGAGATGAACATTCCATTCTAATAAACGAAAGTGGTTCTCGTATAGCCAATTTAGGTTGATTGAACTTGAACTTATCGATTCCATCTCATGGATATCAAATTAAGAGGCATGAAACCTTATCCATTTATCGGCCATAGGGAAATAATCACCAATTAGTTTGAAACATCTCCAATGTCGTACAGTAAACGTAGGACTAATTAGATGAAAGTTCAAAATTGAAATTATATATCACTTTCATTATTGAATTCTAGGACGAATGTGGATTTCTTCCACAGAAAAAACAAGAAGACATACACTCACCGGCAAAAAAACCGGTCAGCAAAATAGTTTGCCAAATTGATCACCCTGTTAGATACTATCCTAATTCTTGTCCGATTTTAGTGAAATTCCGAACAAATGTGGAATAATGTTGCGGAATGTCAACCTGAATCTAGTTAGTTCCCAAAAAGAGCTGCTGGTTTGATCATTATACAGGAAAAAACAAAAGATACTATTTCACGCTTAACTTTTCAACGCCCTGTGGCAAAAGTGAGTGATTAAACATAGCTTCATTATGTTTTCAATTGAAGTGTGATCCCTTCTTAACAAAATGGTTCTTGATTCACGTCCATAACTTCTTTTTAAAAGAAGATACATGTGTTTCGAGGAAGTATCACACTTATGTGGGTTCCAGAGCATGAAGGAATCAAAGGAAATGAGGCAGCTGATCGCCTTGCAAAAAAATGTGCAGCATCTGCACTTTTTGGTCCTGAGCCTTTTTGTGGGATAAGCGAATGTCACCTGAAGGGAGAACTCAGGAGATGGGAAGTCCTCCTACTGGAGAGCAACTCCAGAGGTCAACGACAAGCCAAAAGGTTCATCAACCATTCGGCAGAACCGAGCCAAAGAGCTGCGACTCAGCCTCAGCAAACCAGAGCTAAAGCTTATCAGAGGCTTTCTCACAGGACACTGCCCTCTGAGGTACCACCTCAAAAAGATGGGCTTGGCGGAGACTGACACTTGCCGGTTTTGCAACAATGCGATCGAAACTACGGAACACATACTTTGCATATGTAAAGTATTAGTCCGCCAAAGGCTGAATCACCTAGAACGAGTCTATCTCACACCTGCTGAGGTGGAAAATTCAACCGTCAGGAAAATTATAGGCTTCATCAGAAGTATAGGGTTAGAGGACCAAAACTAGATAAGGGTAATCACAATAGATCTTCTAGGTTGCAGTGACCGAGACGAGAGGTCTCCCAGCCTATACGTCCCATCTACAATCTACAAGGGGGCATGGATATTTTTAATTTGCAGAACTTACATGAACTCATCAATTTATGTCAATTTACTACTTGAACATTTGACATCACTAATTTTCACCACGGTTTTTTAGTCATCGAATCATACTTTTTTGTAGGACATACACAACATTTGATGGAACCGTTCAAGAATACGAAATTCTCGATAGGCAACATAGCGACAGCATTTTATACTGGACTGTGGGCGTATGATGGTTGGAATAACTTGAATTACGTTACTGAAGAAATCAAGAATCCATCTAGGTAATACATAATAATAATAATATTAATAATATTTTTTTCTTGGAAACCTTCAAGCATTGCCTCTAAATCTTTTTCTCGAAATATAATATTTATCATATGATTATGTCAATGACGAATCATCAGCATATTTATCAATGAAATCATTCAGTGTGATTTCATATGTGATATCTTTTGTAAATAATCATATAAGGCACTGTTTGATATGAACAGGACATATTTCTGGTATGAAAATAAAAATAAATCTGTGATATGATGTTGCTATATTAAAATTTTTTGTTGAATATCAAAATTCTAAGATAATGAGTCAAGAGAATTGTGAGTTGTGACTTAGAATTTTGATTCAAAAGCCACGCGAATCAAGTTGGTTCAATTCAATTTCAGGGGTAATATCAACAGTTCTGTGAAATGATATGTATCGATATTATAATGTACAAAGTGCACAGAATATTGACTTAATCTATTTTATCGAAAATTTTGAGAAAACAGATTCTCTATAACATTTAATGAAAAATAGTTACCCATCCAAAAACAATTGAAATTGAATTGATGAAAATATGTTTAGTGGTAATATTTGACTCACCGAAGATCAATCATATCCGTTATATGTAGAAAGGCATCGGTAACATACAGATCCTCTATGATTTTTGGTCGACTAAACATCATTTAAAGCTTTTGCTCCCGTCAGGAGGATCAGAATCAAAGATGAAATTGACAAATAAAGTTAATCGAGGAATGAATGTATCAGAATTTGTTAATTTCATCCTATGATTCCGCAGAGTTATCCCCACCATTCGCGATTCCATTCATTTGTCAGTATTTGGCGTCTAGGATTGTTATATTTTCTGATTCTATCTATTGTTATTTTGTCTGAGTTTTTCTCTACCTCATTGTTGACGTGATTTCTATTGTCTGATTCACCTGAACCACTTGTTTCTGTATCTCAAACAATATAAAATGAATATGATTATTATTTCTCAAGTTACAATTCGATTCCACTCTTGTTCAGAAAGAAGCCAAGACTCTGACGCTGATTTTTCACTTGAATAATCTTTCACAGTTTTATCGTTAGTCTGATCTTAGAATTATTTTAGTCCAGCCCGTAAGATATGACCGGAGGAAAGAATGGGAGCCTAGAGCACAATATAAATGATGCGATCATCAACTCACTGTCAATTTAGAAACGTAATGCCAAGCGCTCGCTGGAAATGGTAGTATCAGTTCAAATGTGCAGTCAGTCATATCGTTCGTGCAAAACTCTGCAAAAATCTGCAAAACCGAATTGTTTAGGTACTTTAAGCAGAGCTTGCTGAACGTCTTCTTCCTCTCCCGTTCGTCCCCTGTCTTCTTTGGCGAGTCGAACTATACTGTTCACTTGATACATAATAATTCTGATGTTTTGTTGAGTTATTTTTCGAAATAAACCTTTCTTGAAATAAGATTTCACGGATTCAATCTTCAACTCCCAGGAACCTGCCGCGCAGCATAGTGATCGGCATCCCCCTCGTCACCATCTGCTACGCCCTCATCAACGTCTCCTACCTCACCGTCATGTCGCCCATGGAGATGACGACCAGCGAGGCGGTGGCCGTGGTGTTCGGCGCACGCGTGCTCGGCCCCATGGCATGGCTGATGCCGCTCTCTGTCACCGTGTCGACTTTCGGCTCCGCCAACGGCACGCTGTTCGCGGCAGGTCGGCTGTGCTTCGCGGCCAGTCGGGAGGGCCACCTGTTGGACATACTGTCGTACGTGCACATCAGGCGGTACACGCCCTCGCCGGGGTTGATTTTTCACGTGAGTACATCAGTCTACTATCTATCAAGCATCGAACATATTGGTCCTTCGAGCCGGATCTATTAAAATCAAACCTTATACAAAACTGCCAAGTTCTTCACAAAGGATACAGAGCAGCACTCAAGACTATCTGGATAGTAATAACAACGCGGAGCAGCTGAAGGTTTCACAAGTAGTAACAAGCAGTTCAAGTGAACAACCGGGGTTTGGGCGCTACCAAAGCGTTGAAAGGCCACTGTTTTCTTTATTTTAATTCAACTCTGAATTCAGACTTGATGAAAGTCGTTGAATGTATCAACGTTCGTTTCGGCGAACGGCACGCTGTACGCGGCAAGTAGGCTGTGCTTCGCGGCCAGTCGGGAGAGACACCTTTTGGACATACTGTCGTATGTGCACATCAGGCGGTACACGCCCTCACCGGGGTTGATTTTTCACTTGAGTACCGCGGTGTTTAGTATTTGTATGATTCCATATAATAGTTTGGTACTTGGTACAAATACAGTCCACTATCTATCAAGCATCGAATAATTGGTCCTTCGAGCCGGATCTATTCAAATCAAACCTTGTTCAAAACTGTCAAGTTCTTCACAAAGGATACAGAGTGGCACTCAAGATCACCTGGAGTAATAACTGAACGCCAGCTGAAGGTTTCACAGGTATATCAATATATTGGGGGGAAGGTGATTTCATTTAAATATATACGTCGCCTAAGAATATAGAAGTGCTTGCTATATATAGCTCACTTCTCATCCTATGTTCATACATAATCTTTTTTTTTTCATAATTATTATTGAATTTTTTTCAGTCTATAATCGCTGGTGCCATGGTGATGTACGGTACGATCGATTCTTTAATCGATTTCTTCAGTTTTACCGCATGGATTTTCTATGGCGGAGCTATGTTAGCGTTGATAGTGATGCGGCATACCAAACCAACTTATCCTAGGCCCTACAAGGTAAAAATAATTCCAAATCATAATATTTTATGTTCGACATAATATGTTCGTCAAAAGAGCCTTTATAAATATCATTGTTGTTTTTATTGTGTATCAGATTTTGCCTGTTCATATATCTCTCTACCAAGAGTGCATTGTTTCAGTTTTCATTTTATTATACAACTTTGAATGACAATTTTATGAGCTGTTAGAAATGGAATCAAAACCAATTCCTACCGACTGCGCCATATTTGTAATGTATACATGTATGGAGTTATCGTTTTTTATTTCACAGCTCATAGATTTTTGAATAAAAAGTTGCGTATTGATCCTTGACAAAGTAATAAAATGAAAAACTGATACAGTATCTGCATTGTTTATTTCTAGGTGCCGATTATCATTCCTTATTTGGTATTAGTGATCTCCGTGTACCTGGTGGTAGGACCTATCATTGATAAGCCTACTTTCGAGTACCTTTACGCTAGTTTCTTCATTCTGGGAGGGATGGTATTCTACGTCCCTTTCGTGCATTACAAATTGCGTATTCCATTTATGGGTGAGTTTACAGAATTTAATGAAAAATATTGGCTGCTACCAATTCTCTTTGCGGGACATTTTTCGCTATTCACTGGGAGCAAATACAAGATCAGATCTTTTCTTGAATCTTTTCATATTCATCTTCACGTTAACCCACATATATCTTTTTTTTCAACTCATAGACCATACAGGGTGTTTCAAAATGCAGTATCAGGATTTCAAGGTACTTATTTTTCAGGTCAAAATATTACTTTTTTCCTATAAATACAGTGTCATTCATAATAAAGTCGGTATCATATGGGAAAAACTTTTATTGATGACTTATTTTGGAATTCGAGTTGGACGTTAAGTTTTGCTTCAAAGAAGATGAAAAATGGCCTACTCAAACGGGGTCACGTGACTTTCGTTACATGTTAAAAGTGACATTTTTTCAAATTAACCGCTGAAAGTAGGCTTATTTGTTCGAATATCGAAAAAGTTTACTTGAAAAAGTTGTTTCTATTTCAATTTTACACATGCTTCTCGAATTTGATATTTCTATTGCAATTTTTAGATTTAGATTTTTTTTAATTTCTCGAAATTTCTGTAATATTTGGAGAATTGTTAATTCCACGGAACTACTTTATACCAGTAGCTTTTTCATGCTACTTACTTTCAATTACTTATTATCACTGATTATGGACAGAAATATGATTTTCTTCAGAAAATGATAATACCCGCTTTCAAATTCTGTTATGTTTGATGCAAAGTTGATATATCGTCAAGCATTTAGAAACAAAATCCATTTAAACTGATCTTTTCAGTACTGGAAAAATAAATTCAAATGAATTTCGTTTCTAAATGCTCGATTCAAACATAACAGAATTTTGATGTTATGTTTGCATCAAACATAACAGAATTTTGAAGGGGAGATTATCATTTTCTGAAGAAAATCATATTTTTGTCGATAATTAGTGATAATTAGTAATTGAAAGTTAGTAGCATGATGAAACTACTGGTATGAAGTAGTTTTATCGAATTAACAATTTTTTTAATATTACAGAAATTTCGAAAATTTTAAAAAAATATCGAAATCTAAAAAATGTAATAGAAAGATAAAATCCGAGTCACATATGTAAAATTCAAATAGAAACAAATTTTAAAAGTGAACTTTTTCGATATTCGAACAAATAAGCCTACTTTCAGCGATTAATTTGAAAAAATGTCACTTTTGACAAGTAGCGAAAGTCACGTGACCCCGTTTGAGTAGGCCATTTTTCATTTTTTTTTAAGCAAAACTTAACGTCCAACTCGAATTTCAAAATAAGTCATTAATAAAAGTTTTTCCCATATGATGCCGACTTTATGAATGACACTGTATATGTCCGGAAACGCTTCATTACCGATCTGTAGAGTGTTGAAGTTTCGAGATTTTTTTATTTTCCAGCACCTTTTAAAAAAAACAAGTCATTTTTGTTAAAAAATCAAACCCAGAGCGAACTATGAAAAATGTTTCCCTCGATAACGGTCGGAGATGCGTAAAATTTACAGGAGACAAAAAAGCTTGAAATCAAAACAAATAACTTATTTCGTATTTCAAAATCCACCAGTGGCGCATCACAAAAAAGTTTATGGAGCTGCCATCCTGAAAATACTTTTTTTCACGAATTATTGCCTAATCTACAGTTGCAACTGTAAAGTAGTAGGTTTGTAGAAGAAAAAAAGTTGACTTTTTTTCACACATTCCTTAATTTACACTTGCAACTGTTAATGGGAAAGACCACTGAGGGAAGAAATCCGTGCAAACCTCTTTCAATCGACGAATCATGATTTACATTTTATGTACAATCAATATTATGAGTTGAATTTGAAGGGAATCGAATCAATATCGCTTTGAAATCAGCATATTCCATTCGGAATTTCAAACAGCCATCAAATATGATGGTGGAGTCGTGATGTATTAGTCCCGAACTGTAGCTATCTCTCTCTGATACCTCATCATTCTGCAGTGTTGCAGTGTAATTGGTCAGTTCAAGGACAATAGGCGTGTTGGGACTAAGACGTCGCATCAGTCACACCAGTGAATTGATGAAATTTCAATGGCGCTGGAATTGTGTGTTTTGAAATGGACATATTCTAGTTTATTTTTTTCATCGTCATAGCATGAATGAAAAAATTCAAAATTAATTCACTTGTAGTTTTTCAGTATAGAGTTCACGATTATGTCTTTTTAAAAATTCAGTGGTCTTTCCCATTAGGCAAAAATTCGTAAAAAAAAGTTTGCCAGTTTTTCATTATTTACCTATATTCATGTTTTTAACTCGATAGAAATAGTTCATGAATAATGGTGATTTCACAGCTTGAGTAGTAGACAAAATTCTGTTGGGAACGTGTTCAGCTTGCTTCTAAGAGTGCTGCTAGTGGTTTCAACGTTTTTTTTTGTAGATGGCGTGACAGTATTTCTGCAGATGCTGCTCGAGGTGGCTCCCACATCGACTATGTTGGAGGAATGAAGAAAATTTAGTCGATAGGCTCAACTAGCTAGTTCCAATAAGCCTCGTTCTCATGGTTATGAGTGATGAAATCGTGGAAGTAGCCCGGCAATCGTCACTAATTTGCCAAAGGAAAGATAATTCAACGAGAAGTATTCAAATGACAGTGATAATTCAACAAATAAATATTGTTTGTCTTGGATTCTTAACCATGGTTCGAATGCACTTAGAAGAATAATAATTATTATTGTAAACATTTACAATGCATATGACTATATGATGCTGTTGTCATTCCCTTCGTGAATCGTTGTTGTTATAATTCAATTTGATATTTATTTATTTTTGAAGCGAATTTATATATTTTTATTTAATTCTCTGGACGAGATTTGTAAAACGAAGGTACTCTGTATTTGATGAAATCATATAATAGCTGTCGGTAAAACTGCACTTATCATGCGATGGTTTTTTTTTTCGAAACTTTTTTTTGGTACTCCAGTATTTTTGTCTGAAAAACACGAATTTGATAATGAAAATGTGAAAAAACCATTATTTATTAAGATATTTCACTAAATAGTTACAAATTTCACCTTCTGTTCCGCCTGTCTTTTGGATCGCATTTAGAACAATTTGACCTTCTTTTTTTCATCATTGGACAATTTATGTATCACAATGACACATTTTTTCTATTATATGAGTCAACTAGAAATATGATTTTCTTGCGATTTATCCGTATTTAGTGAAAAGAAGGAAGAATATCATTTGAAATAATGGCGTGTGTAATGTCATTCAAGAGCATCTGTTGACATTTGACATCTCGTATTTGGATTGACTATTGATTAAATGGCCATCATCTGGTATGATTGTTCACTAAATATGAAAAACTCGCCATAAAAATTATATTTCGTGTTGAATTTTCTATATAAAAATGTGTCTTTGAAGTATATCATGAGTATACAGGGTGATTCAGGTTTTAAGGCACAAACTGAAATGGGAGATAGATCTCATCATTTTGATCAAGAAAGTTTATATAAACATTAGTCCGATCTCGTTCAGTAACGGAGCTACAGGGGGTCAAAGTTTAATAATTTTTTTCTATTAATTGAAATATCTCGCTTACTTTTCAAGATATCATTTTGAAATTTGGTGTGGTCAATACTTCCTAGAAGATCATCATTTCAAGCATTTTAAAGATTTTCAAAATCTACAGGGTGATAGAGCCTTTTTTATCCCCTTCAAACTTTTTCGTAGTACGCCTATGGCATCTTTCAGAACGTATATGCTTATTTATCACAAAAACGGTTCGTTTCTCGAAAAAAATTGAAGAGCAAAAAAGCCTCTTAATTGAACGATCTACACAATTTGATCACTGAAAGATCGGGCTAATGTTTATATAAACTTTTTTGATTAAAAGGATGAGATATATCTCCCATTTCAGTTTGTGTCTTTAAACCTGAATCACCCTGTATAAAGTAGAAAGTATCCAATGACAAAATAAGAAGAGCAAGTAGCTGTAAATGCATCCAATACAGGGGGAAAAAAGGCGAAATTTCGAACTTTTTCTTGAAATATCTCGATATATAGAGGTTTGTTCACATTTTCATTATCAAATTCGTGTTTTCCAGACAAAATTACGTGAAAGTACAAAAACAAAAATTTCGAAAAATTGTGCAGCAAGTTGTATAACCTTGAATATTTTGAAGTTCGAGTTGTATTTGATGCGATTATTTCTTGAGTAGCTCTGAACGAACGTCAAAATCTGACGACGCGGTTTGTTTGCATGTAACAATATGAATTGTTACTATGGAAATGGAAATAATTCGAAATCTGATTGGTGGATTTACTCTATGTATCTGAATTGAACGTTCTGATTGGTTCAAAATCATAGGAAGAAGATAATCGTAAGATTATTTCGACAATTGTTACAAGTTCAATCGGTCCATTGAGTCATAATTGCAACAGAATTCTTGTAATGAGCTCACTTAACAGGATAATCTTGCGATCAAATTTCCATTCAGATTGTGAAAATATTTTGCATTGACTGTTCGGAAGCAGATAACGTCGTATTTTTCTGGTGAATCAGGGTGCATTGCGTATATTGTACGACGTGTTTTTATTGTTTATAGTTGTGCAATGTAGGTGACTGTTTTGCCAGAATGTATATGGGCAATGTTGATCTGGTGCATTTTTTTTCAATTTTTTGTTTAAAAAATCAAATGAACAGACATATCACGTATCCAAAACTTGGAATTGTACCTTCTTGATACAAATGTGAATCAGCAGAAATATTTTTCAATAGAATATGTTGATAAAATATGCAGAAAATGTTGAAATAAATTTATTTAAATAAAGATTAAAGACGAAGTCTTTCAGTGTTTTATTGTGACAATTCAGAAATGGAAATAATTATTAGTTTTAATGAGTTGGATTTGAAATTTTGTGAGTAAACGATACAATTCTGGTCTAGAAAATAGTAGATTGTATTATTAGGATCAAAAGTGACACTTTGTTTGACAAGCGAGTCAAAAAAAGTCACTTTGGATCGCAATGAAACATGCTATTTTTTTCTGTAATCGAAAGAGAACTGAAAAAAATATGTGAAGTAACCACCAATGTGACTTACTTGACATATTTTTATAATACCTTTATTATAATAATATAGGTAAGTAGATAGAAGCAAGACCTCAGACTACTTTACATTAGAATATTGGTGGACGATACTACAGGCACGAATTCATATGTATGCAATACAACAAATAATCCGTGTGGTGAGAATATTCTACCTGCATTTACAGATCAGGTTTATTCAATTTTCAAGGATGTTCGAATTGTAGTTTCGAAATAAATACAACCACAGAGTGACCCATTTGTGTATTCTATTGAATCGATGAATTCATTTGGACCAGGTGTCTGCCCTAATAGCAAATACCACGCCATTGCCAGGTGCATAGGAAAAAGAAGCGGAAAATGTTAGGTTAGTGAGCATATCAACAATAATAATAGCGATTATTTATTTCTCTCCATATTCCACTGTGTTTGGCTCGGTTTTCAAATGAAGGTAAACAATCTGGTTGTGTGAGACAAAAAGGTATTGCTGGCCGTGATTAACAATAGTTTAGTTATCCACTAAATCAGGTCCCGCGATAATGAATGAACTACAGATCAAGCAAGTTTGTGAACTTGAAGGCTTTCCTGATAAAAACCGAAATACTTAACTATAATACGGTGTATTTATATCTGCAGTATGGGTATGAAATTCCAAATCTGCCGAAATCGGGAACACATCAGGTATGCGTCTCAACCCAAATAACCAACCATAACAATGTTGTTCATTCTTGATGACCTAGTACATCCTTTTTAGTTCCTAGGAGCTAAAGTTGAACTTTGCTTAGCATTTGTTTGTGTCAGTAATAGAAACTAGCTAATTTTTGTATTAAAATGGACGACTTTTGTGTCGTTGCAGAAAAACATTTTTTTATGGAATTAAATTGTTCTGTTATACGCAGGCAAGGATAAAATAGCTCGTCGATAAACGTTAAATCATAATTATTGGATTATTTATTCCTATTGAGGTCTACTTGCTAGCTGGATGAATAGGGATATGAATAAATTATTATGTGAAATTCCTCAATTTCTACTTGGAAATCTTGATCATTCAAGCAGCACAACTCTGATCCCCAATTATTATCACGTTCCAATTCAATAGAATTTGATTTTGATTCCATTACCCTCCACAGCCCTCCAACAAAGTAAATCTACCTGCTAATTTGGCAAAATAAGAAATAAAAAACAGTCAACTACATGCTATAAACAAAATATATTGATCTAAGTACCTACTAAAAACAAAGATTCAATCAACATTTGACGTTAGAGGGCTGCATGGTGCAATTGCTCTGCCTGTAAGCCCCCGAGATGTTGACACCCCAGGACCAGTTCGAGCAACCCCCTTTAGCGCACAGAATGAACACAGCCCTGGAGTTCTTTCCGGTCATCGATCCGGACACTCCGGTGATGCTCAATCCGGTGATCGGGATGTTAGCCTTGGGTGTGCCGGTGGGACTGCCTTTCTCGTAGTCTTGCTCGATGTTGACTCCGTATTTGCGAATTCCTGAGGAGGTCAGTTGGTAGTGAGTTCGATTAGAATTAGGTTGGATCGAATTTTAAGGTGGCGCAGTCGGTAGGAGAACGAAAAAAGTATACTCCTGATGATTTAAATGATTGTTTGAGAGAATTTACCGACCTCTGAGGAGAAACCAGTTCCTGATAGTGAGATAGTGATCTAGTTCGGGTATTATTACATGGTTATTATAGGGATTTTCTTCAATTGTCGCCTTCTACTTGGAGAATTTAGCAATTATTTTTGCCCTTTTCGTAGTCTTGCTTTATGTTGACTCCATATTTGGCGATTCGTGAGGTTAGTTGTTAGTGAGTTTGATTAGAATTAGGTTGGATCGAATTCTAAAGTGGCGCTGTCGGTAGGAAAAGGAAAAAAGTATATTCCTGATGATGATTTCTAGTAGTAGCATAGAGCAAGTACAAGTGGCACTGGTTCTTCCATAAAGTGCGGTTCCAGCACACAGCAGTGGAATAGAAATCGAGAGTTGGTGCGACCTTCTTGTCATCAGAAATGCCAGAATAATTGTTTTGTAAATCAAAAAGTTGAATTATTGAGAGTACATTTGGTTTCGCTATACTCAATATAGTGGTTTGCAAGAATGATTTCCTGATGAAGGACCACATTATAACAGTGATGAACCAATGCATCCATACTGGAAACGCTAATAAAAGGAAATCAACAGGAAGGCCGCCAAGTAGTTATTCAAACGTTAAATACTCTGTCTGTAGGTTAATCGAGGAGTTACTACAAAAGCTTTCGCCAATTGAAATATCGCCTGGAGTACTGCCAATGGTTCCAAATAATCTCAACGATATAACCGGTTGTTGTACCTAACATCGACATCTTTTCGAGTTGCCAAATCGATACATCATGCAACTACCATACAGTTTTGAACTATCTACACAAATAACAATTGAAGTCTTCTCTCACCCGACAATTTGATGTTTTTGTAGGAAACGTTGTCGATGACTCCAGGTCCTCCGTCAGAGTGCGTCTTGATATGAATGCCGTTGTCAGAGTTGCTGACAGTGCAATCAGAGAAGTGGACATCAGACACCGTGTTATCTGCCTTGGACGTTTTGCTCATGCCCACGGACAGACTGAGACCGTGGCCGCCTGAGCACTGCAGCTTCGAGATGGTCACGTGCTGGGCCTTGTTGACAGCCACGCAATCGTCCTGATTCTTCACTACGGAGTTAGTGATGACGACATTGCTGGTGGAGGATATGTCGAATCCGTCAGTGTTGCGGCCTAGTTCGTTCTGGAAGTAAAAATAGGGTTTTGGATGTTTCAGAACGACCTCGAAAAGGTGACCTAATGCGACTGATGGGGCTTGGCAAGCCGAAACAATCTGCCAGAAACTCTCGAAAAGCAGATTGCGAATGGTGTGGAAACATTTCTGAATTGAGAAGGTTCCTTAATTGAGTTTTTTTTTTCAATAAATATTATGAAGAAAGTTTAAGAATTACCTACATGTTCTGAAATGACTGATCAAGAATGTTTTCACACATGAATTGATAGCTGAAGATATAATAATGTATAGTCTAAATGACAAGAAACGCCTCAAGCCATAGAAAAGCTATTAACCATTTGATTTTGCAGATGAAATGCCCAATTGGATCCTATGAGTAGGATCTGATAATTATTATTTCTAATTTCAACTTTAACGTCAGCGACTGTCATTGTTTTTGAATGGTACCATATTTGTTTTCTGACCGAGATTATTTTATCAATACCTACAGAGAAATGACAAGTTAACTGTTGGAAATAATCATTTGGAAAATTGATGTTTAGTTGACAAGAATTAGATTTCAGACCGAAAAAAAATTGGGCATGCTCTTGAAGTGACAATTGATCATTAATTCGGATGTAATTAATTTCGATGCCATTAGTAATAGAATTGGGCATGCTCTTGAAGTCACGATTATGGTTCTTTATCGTCGTAGGTTATAGAAAAAATATTGAAATTGCAAATCTTCTAATTTTCCAGATACATTTCTCCCTTTGAAAAATGGTTACTTTTTCAGTGATAATTAGTTTTTTTTTGGATTGGGTAAAAAAGTAATTGATTTCCGAAAGTTTTTTGAATGGTGACGATCAAGACATTTTTTCTTCTCTTACTCTTAGATTTCAGACCGCACTAAAAATAAATTGGGTATGCTCCTCGTCATAATTCCAGATCTTCATCAAAAGTTTGAAAGATTTTAATTCCTGTTTTATGATCGCAGATTGAAAAGGTATATTCTCAGAGAGAGATCTTCCTGTAGAAGTTACAGCGATGAAACTTCGTACCTATGTATTCGATGTGTTCCTCTGTTGAATAACTACTTCACTGGTTATATCAACTCCTTAGATTTTGATACAGGGTGAATCGAACAATCAAAAATATCAAAATTCGCCATTGAATAACTAACACCCTATATGAGATCTTGCGTTCAAATTCCGTATAGGGGTATTTCAGCTATACGTGAATCGAATAGGCTAGTCACTATTTCGAAAAAAAATTGCCTAATAGTCGTTTTTGAAATCTTGACCCTTTCAACAAACAAAAGTAGGCCTTGAAAATCTGAATATTTCAAATTTGTCCACATTTTCGAATAGAGCTCGTTGAGTGCTATATTATGGAATTTTTGTTTTTGAAAATCGGTCGACGAGTTCCAAATTAGGAGGGTGTTGCGGGTTGAAATCGCACACACTGTATAGTATATTCCCTAACAACACAGGGATGTCCTAGGTACGTCCCTTTTTCGTCCCGCGGTACAAGGACATGATTGGGGCATCCAGGGGATATCCTGCAGTGGTTGTCCAGTGGACATTCCACCCGGTACATCCCTAGGTTATCCTATTCGTGTCCCTGGAGTATCTGATATCCATTCACATCAGAGTCATTGAATTTCATCAAACTATTGAGTTGAATATTTTTTTAAGTGTTTGTTTTTCTTCCGGCAAATGATTGTAATGAAAATAAAGGATAAAGTCTCAGAACTTCTTAAGAAATTACCATTTTTCGCAGACAGAAATCGTACATGCATAATGTCCCTCATTTTTGAACACCCAAGAATGATAATAATTAGGTATACCCAATTCCTAACAAAGTTGTATTTATTCAGGTTTCTCTAGTTAAGTCCTGTTTATAAATCTGTTTAGTACATAAATCTTCAGGGGGCATGATAGCCAATAGAGCAAGGTGCGTGCATGATAAGCCAAAGGTCCCGGGTTCAATCCCTACTCGACCTACAACTTTTTTTCTTTTATCGAAAGGATGCCCCTGGGATATCCTTGGGACGTCCAAGGGATATCCTTTCATCGTACTTGGTACATCCCTGGGATGTCCTAGTATAAAATCAGGGACGTCCCTGGGAAGTCCCTAGGATGTATTGGTGTTGTTAGGGTTGATGATATCGCCAACGTCGTACTGACACAGGGAATCGTATTTCAAATCTATATGCTCTGTGTGAATGTGTCTCTTCAGAAAGTACGTGATATGGAATGGTGAAGAAGCCAATAAATTCTTCTTTTACTTATTTTTTCCTGAAGTGAAATATGATCAAACGAAAAAAAGAAGGAAACTTATAAATTCACTTTCCACAAACTTTACAGTGAGATAAGAACCTCAATATTGTAAACTTCCCCATAATATAGGTACAGGCTGTCCCATTTTCGATGTCTTTATACGGGATATCTCGCTTATTTTTGAAGATACAGATTTGCGGTTTTCGCGAATGTTGGCTACTTTTTCGTGAAACTCACGAAACCGTGAACAAAATTCCCATAGCCCGCTTCGTTCCTGAGATACAGGGCGAAATTGAAAATATTGCAATTTGGACCCCCCCCCCTGTATCTCAGCTATCTTTCAACTTAGAGGAAAAGTAAGAACTGTTTCTTTCACAATTTTTCACGTAGAATGAGCTGTCGTTATTTAGATATAACCCAAAGTTATGTTTTTTTAAATAGAACACCCTGTATATTTTTCAATATTTGAAACAAGAAAGCTTTGCGCTTTTCAAAAATATATAACACTTACATGATATTTTGAGTATTAGTCCTGTATTTGGGTAATTTTCATTTTTTTATGGCAAGTCAAGACAAATAACTTCTACTTTTAGAATAGATATTGTGGCGCAATAATTAAATACCACTCATTTATATAGGGTAGAATGAAAAGAATTCATTTAAAATGATTATTCAATTAAAAATTTGATCAAAACAATTTGATAAAACATAAAACAATTTGATAAAACAATAAAACAATTAACATAAAACAATTTGATAAAACAATAAATTCAAACACTACTAAAAAACAATTCTATTAATTTTTCTCCTGTTGAAAATGTCTTATTAATATTGTTCAAATTGCTGCCCATTCTGTTGAAGACACAGCCGACATCTTCTAGGTTAGCGTCAATCGACCGGAGTAAAAATATAGGTCTCATACGTAAATATTCGAAAGCTTCTCTCGTAGCATTCATCAGTGAATCTCGATTTTCATGCCGCGTGTGATATATTTTATTTTTTATATAGCCCCATAAGAAGAATTGAAATATACAGGGTGTTCTATTCAAAAAAACATAACTTTGGGTTATATCTAAATAACGACAGCTCATTTAGAAAAATCTGACTACGCCACTGGATTCTACGTGAAAAATTGTGGAAGAAACAGTTCTTACTTTTCCTCTAAGTTGAAAGATAGCTGAGATACAGGGGGGTTCCAAAATGCAATATTTTCAATACACATACCTTGTCTCCAGCAGAAACATCAACGTTCCAGCCGTCGATTGTCACGTGGTCGCAGGTGTCGACAGACACACATTGTCGTGGACAGTTCAAGACATGTAGGCCGGTCAGGACTGATCCTCCGGTGGCCCTGACCTTGACGAATTTGGGTTTCTTGACTCCATTATCGCCTTTGCCGTCCCAGTATTTGGGGCCCTGGCCATCGAGAACGTGACCTGACGAACGAAAAAATCCGAATTAGGAGATCCAACTCAGGTTAAAATCAATATGACGTCTACACCTTTCCCAATTGTAATTAGGCAATCCAATTACCTGTCAAACTATGCGGTGTTCAGTTCGCGAATTCCTGTTGGTATCAGAAAGTACAAGTCTTGTAATCCAAAAAAAAATCACAAACAGTAAGTATTTAAGTGTTCTACACCTTTTCCAATTGTAATTTAGAAAGCGTCAAGTGTAATTCGGACAATATCATTCGTGATTCAGATTAGTTAATAAAAATGCAGAAAATATCAATTGTTATTCAGATCGATCAATTGAAATTCAGAAAGCGTCAATTGAAATTCAGAAAGTACCATTTGTGATTCAGAATGTATCATTCGTAGTTCAGAACGGGTCAATTGTAATTCAGACTACGTCATTTGTAATTCAGATTAGTTGATTGAAATCCAGAAAGTGTCAGTTGAAATTCAGATTAGTCAATTGAAATTCAGAAAATATCAATTTAAATTCAGATTGACTAATTGATATCAAGAAATAGTCCATATTGAAATTCAGAAAGTTTCATTTGTAATTCAGAAATATGGAACAGTGTTACCTTTGCTTGTTGAGGCAAAATTAATGAATGTAGCTGATAAATTACAAAGCAATATTTTTTCCGGAAATTACGTTTTCTAATATAACTTCCCTATTTCACCTATTGAAATTGATTTCAATTGACCATCAATGAAAATAATTTCATAATTTTGAAGTCGCTGGTTCTACATGAATACCTTTTATAAATTCATCAGTCTGAATTACAATTGACACATTCTCAATTACAATTGATGATATCTGAATTTCAATTGATGCTTTCTGATTTTCATTTGACTATTCTGAATTACAATTGAAGTTTTCTGAATTTCACTTGTCTAAACCGAATTACAATTGATAGTTTCTAAATTTCATGTTACCTATCTGAATTACAAATAATGTAGTTTGAATAAAAATTGGTTTATTCTGAATTACAAATGACGATATCCGAATTTCAATTGAAGCTTATTTCCAAATTCCAATTGAAAAATCTGATTTACAATTGGAGATTTCTGAAATTCACTTGACTAATCTGAATTGCAATTGATAGTTTCTGAATTTCAACTGACAAATTTGAATTACAATTGACGCTT